TTATACATATATATATATATATATATATAACCATTTATACCCCATCAAATTCCTACGGACGACAACAAAGAACCTAGTGATCGGCTCTACTGTTGATATTCTCTGATAATTGCCTTATATCGTATATGAATAATAAATTCCCCGTCAATCAATAAAACCTTTACCACAACCACAACTAGTTGTCTGCACCAATCATCAAAAAAATATATATATATATATATATACCCAGCTTCTATTCCAAGTGAAAGTACGTGGGAACTAAGAAAGCAATTGATATGCAAAATGTCGCAAACCATTAAGTTTTCAACAGCCTATGCCTAAGCCTGCGGAAGAATTCTATAAACATTAAATAATATCAAGCTATACAAGAACTTGAAGACTTCAACAAACATGGTGCAGTTCACTTAAAGTCACGAGAACGTAATCCGAATATCTCATTGTGATGCAGAGTTGGAAACCATTAAGCAAATTCAACGATGTATGTCCCAAACGTTAAGTAGTGAAGCAAACAACCCCAGCAATCTTAACAGTTATTGTAGCCGATAAAGTGCAAATTATACAGGTGTAGACAATTTGAAATCAATTATATGTCTCAGCGTATAGCGTAGTAGGTGGCTGCTTCAAGTCAGCAGTACGTCCTATGTAATGAAAATTTGGTTCTGCTAAATATTTTGCCTTCCCAGCAGTGTCATACCTAAACTTCCATATTTCCAAATGAATAAAAGATGTCCGTACAAGAAGTGACGGTTCTTAAGGTTCGTAATGAGCAACAACATCCTTCATGTCAAGGAATTCCACGGAATATGTTAACATCAAATAGTGACTATGGACAGGGTCAAAAGAGAATTCTTTGAACTGTCTTTGACATATAGTCGGCAACGTGAAATCCCACAACACTGGAAACTCCCAAACCAAATCACCAGCGGAAATTTAACTTATTCCGCACACGACCGTGTAGTATTTCACGGGCAGGCAATATTGCTTGGCGACCTACTCTATCGGACTAGCATATCTCTCTGAATTTGTTATTCACAAATACTTGCTTTTCGACGTAAACTGTTCCAGTAAATGGTAGGACATTTCATAGTGGTGAACAATCTCGAAGTGGGAAGGCCAAAGTCTGACAGACTTCGTCGTAATCTAATAGTAATATAAATGAACTATGACAAGTTAAAATAACAGTGCTACTTAATTCTCGGCAAGGAAGAAATTGAACTAATCTCACTACTCTAATTTGGACGACATATAGACTGCAAAACTCCCCTCAAAAGCACTCGGCAATAAACCCTGAAGAAGCCTCACCTTGGCGGCTGCTGCCTTTCCATTCATACAACCATTTTTGGAAAATTGGAAATATTCCACAATAACAGAGTGCTAAAAACAGTTTGTATAGTTGCTGACTTTATATCATCAGTCAACTCTCTTACAGATGGAAAGATGTCAGAATAGTTTAGAACAATGCGACGGATATTTCTGATGTAAACATATGATCAAGTGGAGATAACTCGATGAAGCAGAGCAAATAAAATGTAAATTAAAAGATTCTTGTTAAAAAGAAAAGTTTGGACAAATAATACAAAGGACTAGGTCAAATGTAGTCTGCTCCAGAAGTTCGAGAAAGTCTTTTTTTTCCTTTTTTTTGTATATAAACATATGATTAAATGGAGATAACCCCATCATGTAGAAACTATTCCCCAAAAATAGTTGTGTACCAGTTCGAGACGTATGCACTGAATTTCTAAAAAAGGAAAATTTTCCCGCAATATCTTGACTTTAAAAAGGTGTCTTTGAAAAAAAAAGCAGCATTTAGGTAGGCAATATATGTAATAAAACTTATTGTTTCCATTACAGTAGTGACACATATATCATGGATGAAAAACAGTAATGTGAAATTACAATAAAACTAAGTTCAATAAAAGCAGCCACCCAGAAGCTACTCTCATGACGAGCAAATGAAGTAACACACTAATTTTCAAACCAAGCGAAAGACAACAAAACCGAAAGGCACTAATTTTGAGAAAGAAACTTGTTTAAAGTGCTGCAATAAAACAAGCTATGTTGCTCATTATTTTATCCGGGCCCCTATCGACCTTCTAAACAACGCAAAAAGAAATAATAATAAAGAAAAGAAAAAAAACTGTACTTATACAAGACTCATGAATCACTGGTTATTTCCAAATATAGTAAACAAGTTTGTCGAGTGCACTCACTCCGTTCTGAATAAAAATTGAATTTGCAATAGCTTCCATCGGACGAAACCACTGAAACTGCTAAAACTTTGTGCGAATCGACTGTTTAAAAGAGTTTAAATCAAAAAAATCTAAATCAGATGTTTAAAATTGATGACCTCAAATGACCAAAAATGTCTGAAAGCAGTTACTAAACTAAAACTTAAAAAAAAAAAACTAGGAAAGCTGCAAATTATGTAGGGGTGTTTTGAGTTCGACGGAATTCAATCGTCTTCAACATTTAAGCTGGTAGTTTAACAGTGCCTTACGAAAGACTCAATTAATGAAAAAACTTTAACCAATAACAGAGTCGGGCTGTGGCCCAAAAGCGCATATACAGGAATCCTTGTCTTTAAATGGAAAAGGTAATCGGAAACGAGAGACGCTGACTTCACCAGAAAAACTCAACTTTCCCAGCGGCCTGAAGAAACTTGTGAAGACAGAGACAGAAAAGGACAAAAATAAATGTGAAAGAAAGTCACTTCCTAGGAATTACAAGAAACATACACTTTTTTCTTCTTCATAGCCAAAGAAAACAAATGAACAGTATGATGATTGCTAGATACGCACAACATTGTTGAGTCCGTTGAGAAACTGATGCTGGAAGCAAAAATACGTTCATTGTCTTGCCAGATTTTATCTTCCAAATAAAAACTTGAACATAAGGACACTGAGCATCGAAACAAATAATACCAATATATAGAAGCAGGATTCGTCCCACGCCGCAATTCTTTCAACAAAAGACAAGTTTTGGTGTCAAAAATTCTTATTATAGTGCCTTTTTCAGAAGATGTCGCTAACTGTTCTCCTATAAAGGAGAACGTATTACAGTGTCGCTGAAACTGGCATTTTTTGGTCACTCTGCACTAATACATTTGTCCAACAAGACGCATATTCTAATTGCCAGTCTTTCATTTGTTAGGTCCAAGTTTCCCAAATGAATTCGTTTTTTGAAATAGTATATTACCGGTAAGATTAAGTGCAATAGCGGATAGTGGTCTTTGATGAGCATTGATTACTTTGGGTAGAGCATCTGGTTCGGTCAGTGTTACACAGCAAACTGCCGACGACGAAGAGGGTGCAGGAAAAGCAAGAAGAGAATTCTCTGATGCTGGACATAAACAACATATCCCACGTGGATTTCTGCTTGAATCATACACTTGCAATTTTCAGGTTGATCTGTGAAACTGCAAAGAAGAAATGAATAATTCATGTTACCATAATTCCACATATACATAT